TGTTAGTAGAACACATGGCAGAGTTAATAAGTAATGTACTGCCGATCATCATACCTGTAATGTAAACAATGTCGCAATGAAACGAATGTCTATCTTCATAATCTTTCTTGTCTGTCTCAAACCAAATTGAAATGAATGAAATAGAAAAAATTATGTATCGATGCTTTTGCTAACCAGCCAACCAAAAACCAACCAGCCAACCAAAAACCAACCATAAACCAGCCAACCAATAAAAAACCAATCAGCCAATCGCAAACCAACCAGCCAACCACAAACCAACTACAGAAGGAATTCTTGTATTAACGCGGAATAATTATGGCAAGCAGGCCTGTCAGGTATACGGTGCTGGATGAATCCGCCCGTCATACACTTCTATCATGTTTCGTTTTTTAATTTTATTTAGAAACTTTCTCTCAATTTTAATATATATATAATTAATTTAAATATTAACATTAATACTTAAATAATAAGGTAATAATGTAACAATTTGGCTTTAATAATAATAATTCAAATGCAATAAAGCAAATATAACATCATGATTGTAAACGAAAAATACAAAAGCTAACATTTTAGAAACAAAATGTTCATAGGAAAAAATAGAAAAAGAATGGGTAAATGTATAAACGAGCTAAGTTTGAAAAACATATGAAAAATGTATGAGGAATGAAATAACGGAAATAAATTGAAAAAATTTTACAAATCAAAGTGTTTTTGAAATTAGAGTTCATATTGAAAACACCTATATAAAAATAGATACACACATGCAAATACAAAGAATAAAAACTAAACAGAAAAAAAAACAGAAAATCGTAGCAAAAAGGAATTGCAAAATATTCATCCAGCACTGTATAGTCTACATCACTGCTGTCGTTCGTTGTAGCTTCAGTCATGAGACATGCAGATTCAACGTTGCGCCAGAAAGCTGTGCGTGTCAATAAAGTACGTGAACCAATTGCTTATGCGTGTATATGTTACACACATATACACATGTTTAAATGTACATTGTATGTATGTTTGTATGTATTATTATTATGTATGTATGTATGTATGTACATACATACATATACAATGTATACATATATATTTTGCATTTGAAATTGAGTCACATTGTATTTAAATGTAATTTAACCTAATAAAAGCCAAAGTTTAAATAAGCCAGCATAACTGTGCCCGTTAATTAATAAATGAAATGTAGTAAAACGCATTCGGAGGAAAATGCGTATTGAAACAACTGAATCAGTGTTGTGATAATTGTATAGATATATACAATGTTTTCCATGTGTGTTGCGTGTTGTGCGCATGTATGAGTATGCAATCACAGACACCGGAAAAGAGGGAGAAAAAGATAAAGGAAAAGGGATAAAGAAAGAGAGAGAAAGAAAGAGAAATACCTATGAATATGTACGTTTTATGTACAATTGAGCAATAGTGGATATATTTTTGAATTTGTTTAAACGTGTTCAGATGTGTGTTGGTGAATTTATTACATTCTTGTCAAGTATTTTGATATAATTTTATCACCTGTTAAACAAGAATAACCAAATGAGCCATGTAAAACAAAAACAACTAACAAACATCACAACCCACAACTAACTACTTTAATAAACACATCTACGCAGACTATTTTGGAATAGGATAAATACATTTCCGTATCTACTACCTCTCCCATCAAATATCATTAGTTCAATCAAAATTTTTTTCCATAAAGTTTATGAAACAATTAAATAACGAATATTGACTAAATAAAGTGCTGCAGTGACGGGATTCGAACGCAAGACAATCTTTACCTCATCATGCATGTGCATGCAAGAAACATCGTGATCTTGCGAGTGAACTTAAGCGTCCCTTACGCTTCATTAAATAACTTATGGAAAGTTGATAGAATTTCATGACAAGATTTTCATATAATGTTTCACAATATCCAATCTGCAGGTCTTTGCATATGATGTCAGACATTGCATGTAAGAAATATATTACAACTGTCGGCGTTTTGAATTTTTTGACTTTTGACAAATGAAATGAAAGATTTTTAGGCTACTTAATAACGATAATATACATTATTTTTATAAAAACGGCTATTATTATATTTTTCTACCCCATCATCGTTGCCACCATTTTCTCATCACTTGGTTAGTGGTGGAGGAAAATTTGTCATGGAGAAAATAGAAAGAACCTTCTGTATCGATCATCAACATACATGCACTTGAACAGTTGTATGCAATTTTTCAACTTGAAACAGACAAAATAAACAAAACATACGTAGCACATGCATACAATCTCATAGTGTGAACAGCAAACATACAAACAGCAAACATACACACACATAAAAACAGCAAACATACACACACATACAGGCAGTAAACATGCACACACACACACACATACAAACAGCAAGCATAAGCACTCATGAAGTATTCTAAATAATAGAAATATTTGATGAAAAATTTACTAATTGAACTAACGTGTAACCTATTATTATTTAGGATAATTTAAAAAACAACAAAACTATATATAAAAACGAAAAACAGTTGGTCTCGTGCTATTTGGGCACAAAGCAAGCCCAGCAATTATTTACATTGAGTTACAAATTATCGTTCGACCAATAATTTGAATCAACACATTTCAAGCATTAAATACCTTCAGTTAATACTTATAAATTTTCAAAATTGTAATAGGCTTACGTACAATTCAAAATCAGGTTAGACACATATTTAGCATGCAAATGGATATATATATACGCGAGTGAACATGAAGACAGGCGCAGACGCGCGCGCACACGTTGTCCTATGTGAA